TAGTCTCTCTCGGTCCTGTTTTTGTGTTTATTATTTCTCTGCCTTGCACAGCCAACACACACAAGTGATGGTAACCACTTAAGATGTGTCTTTTTTAGTCTCTCTCGGTCCTGTTTTTGTGTTTATTATTTCCTGCCTTGCACAGCCAACACACACAAGTGATGGTAACCACTTAAGATGGGTCTTTTTTAGTCTCTCTCGGTCCTGTTTTTGTGTTTATTATTTCCTGCCTTGCACAGCCAACACACACAAGTGATGGTAACCACTTAAGATGGGTCTTTTTTAGTCTCTCTCGGTCCTGTTTTTGTGTTTATTATTTCCTGCCTTGCACAGCCAACACACACAAGTGATGGTAACCACTTAAGATGGGTCTTTTGTAGTCTCTCTCGGTCGTGTTTTTGTGTTTATTATTTCCTGCCTTCCATAGCCAACGTACACAAGTGATGGTAACCACTTAAGATGGGTCTTTTTTAGTCTCTCTCGGTCCTGTTTTTGTGTTTATTATTTCCTGCCTTGCACAGCCAACACACACCAGTGATGGTATCCACTTAAGATGGGTCTTTTTTAGTCTCTCTCGGTCCTGTTTTTGTGTTTATTATTTCCTGCCTTGCACAGCCAACACACACAAGTGATGGTAACCACTTAAGATGGTCTTTTTTAGTCTCTCTCGGTCCTGTTTTTTGTGTTTATTATTTCCTGCCATGCACAGCCAACACACACAAGTGATGGTAACCACTTAAGATGGTCTTTTTTTGTCTCTCTCGGTCCTGTTTTTGTGTTTATTATTTCCTGCCTTGCACAGCCAACACACACAAGTGATGGTAACCACTTAAGATGGGTCTTTTTTAGTCTCTCTCGGTCCTGTTTTTGTGTTTATTATTTCCTGCCTTGCACAGCCAACACACACAAGTGATGGTAACCACTTAAGATGGGTATTTTTTAGTCTCTCTCGGTCCTGTTTTTGTGTTTATTATTTCCTGCCTTGCACAGCCAACACACACAAGTGATGGTAACCACTTAAGATGGGTCTTGTTTAGTCTCTCTCGGTCCTGTTTTTGTGTTTATTATTTCCTGCCTTGCACAGCCAACACACACAAGTGATGGTAACCACTTAAGATGGGTCTTTTTTAGCCTCTCTCGGTCCTGTTTTTGTGTTTATTATTTCCTGCCCTGCACAGCCAACACACACAAGAGATGGTAACCACTTAAGATGCGTCTTTTTTAGTCTCTCTCGGTCCTGTTTTTGTGTTTATTATTTCCTGCCTTGCACAGCCAACACACACAAGTGATGGTAACCACTTAAGATGTGTCTTTTTTAGTCTCTCTCGGTCCTGTTTTTGTGTTTATTATTTCCTGCCTTGCACAACCAACGTACACAAGTGATGGTAACCACTTAAGATGGGTCTTTTTTAGTCTCTCTCGGTCCTGTTTTTGTGTTTATTATTTCCTGCCTTGCACAACCAACGTACACAAGTGATGGTAACCACTTAAGATGGTCTTTTTTAGTCTCTCTCGGTCCTGTTTTTGTGTTTATTATTTCCTGCCTTGCACAGCCAACACACACAAGTGATGGTAACCACTTACGATGGGTCTTTTTTAGTCTCTCTCGGTCCTGTTTTTGTGTTTATTATTTCCTGCCTTGCACAGCCAACGCACACAAGTGATGGCAACCACTTAAGATGGTCTTTTTTTGTCTCTCTCGGTCGTGTTTTTTGTATTTATTTTTTTTAAAGAAGGTTTAGCACTCCTACACCTACACACCCACACCACCCACACCACCCACACCACCCACACACCACCTAATTAATCGAACATCTAGCGCCGGTTATAAACATTGAGGCTGAGCCTTGCCCACGATCTGGCGTGGGTTTATTTTGCCGGCAAGGTCTGGCGGGTTGAGAGGAGGTCACGGGTCCTCGATGAGATCTGGGCGCGAAGGTCTCCATCGGTGAGCTCCTCTGGCAGGAGAGGCTGCGTTGGCTGGGTGGTAGTGTAGTGTGTAGTGTAGTGTAGTGTGTAGTGTATAGTGTAGTGTAGTGTGTAGTGTAGTGTGTATAGTGTATAGTGTAGTGTGTATAGTGTATAGTGTAGTGTATAGTGTAGTGTATAGTGTAGTGTAGTGTATAGTGTAGTGTGTAGGGTAGTGTGTAGTAGTGTAGTGTGTAGTGTAGTGTATAGTATAGTGTAGTGTGTAGTGTAGTGTATAGTATAGTGTAGTGTATAGTGTAGTGTATAGTGTAGTGTCTGGAGGGTTGAGAGGAGGTCACGGGTCCTCGATGAGATCTGGGAGCGAAGGTCTCCATCGGTGAGCTCCTCCGGCAGGAGAGGCTGCGTTGGCTGGGTCGTAGTGTAGTGTGTAGTGTAGTGTGTAGTGTAGTGTGTAGTGTAGTGTGTAGTGTAGTGTGTAGTGTAGTGTGTAGTGTAGCGTATAGTGTGGTAGTGTAGTAGTGTAGTGTGTAGTGTATAGTGTAGTGTATTGTGTAGTGTGTAGTGTATAGTGTAGTGTATAGTGTAGTGTAGTGTGTAGTAGTGTATAGTGTAGTGTGTAGTGTAGTGTGTAGTGTAGTGTGTAGGGTAGTGTGTAGTGTATAGTGTAGTGTGTAGTGTAGTGTGTAGTATATCGTGTAGTAGTGTAGTGTGTAGTGTATGGTGTAGTGTGTATAGTGTATAGTGTAGTGTATAGTGTAGTGTGTTGTGTAGTGTATAGTGTGTAGTGTATAGTGTGTAGTGTATAGTGTAGTGTATAGTGTAGTGTATAGTGTAGTGTGTAGTGTAGTGTGTAGTGTATAGTAGTAGTGTATAGTGTAGTGTGTAGTGTATAGTGTAGTGTGTAGTGTAGTGTATAGTGTGTAGTGTAGTGTATAGTGTAGTGTAGTGTATAGTGTGGTGTGTAGTGTAGTGTGTAGTGTAGTAATAATAGTGTGTATTGTAGTGTGTAGTGTATAGTGTAGTGTAATGTGTAGTGTAATGTGTAGTGTATATTGTAGTGTGTAGTGTAGTAATAATAGTGTGTAGTGTAATGTGGAGTGTAATGTGTAGTATAGTGTAGTGTAGTAGTGTAGTGTGTAGTGTAGTGTGTAGTGTAGTGTGTAGTGTAGTAGTGTAGTGTGTAGTGTAGTGTGTAGTAGTCTAGTGTGTAGTGTATAGTGTAGTGTAGTAATAATAGTTTGTAGTGTAATGTGGAGTGTAATGTGTATTGTAACGTGTAGTATAGTGTAATGTGTAGTGTAGTGTGTAGTGTATTATATTGTGTAATGTATAGTGTAGTGTATAGTGTAGTAGTATAGTGTAGTGTGTAGTGTAGTAGTAGTGTAGTGTAGTGTGTAGTGTAATGTGTAGTGTAGTATATAGTAGTATATAGTGTAGTGTGTAGTGTAGCATATAGTGTAGTGTATAGTGTAGTGTGTAGTAGTATAGTGTAGAGTATAGTGTAATGTGTAGTGTAGTGTAGTATATTGTGTAGTGTGTAGTGTATAGTGTGTAGTGTAGTGTATAGTGTAATGTGTATTGTAACGTGTAGTATAGTGTGTAGTAGTGTAGTGTGTAGTGTAGTATATTGTGTATTGTGTAGTGTATAGTGTAGTGGTAGTGTAGTGTGTAGTGTAATGTGTAGTGTAGTATATAGTGTAGTGTATAGTGTGTAGTGTAGTAGTATAGTGTAGTGTATAGTGTAATGTGAGTGTAGTATATTGTGTAGTGTGTAGTGTAGTGTATAGTGTAGTAGTATAGTGTAGTGTGTAGTAGTGTAGTGTGTAGTGTAGTATATTGTGTAGTGTGTAGTGTAGTGTATAGTGTAGTAGTATAGTATAGTGTGTAGTAGTGTAGTGTGTAGTGTAGTATATTGTGTAGTGTGTAGTGTAGTAGTGGTAGTGTAGTGTGTAGTATAGTGTGTAGTGTAGTGTATAGTAGTGTAGTGTATAGTATAGTGTGTAGTGTGTAGTGTAGTATATTGTGTAGTGTGTAGTGTATAGTGTAGTAGTATAGTATAGTGTGTAGTAGTGTAGTGTGTAGTGTAGTATATTGTGTAGTGTGTAGTGTAGTAGTGGTAGTGTAGTGTGTAGTATAGTGTGTAGTGTAGTGTATAGTAGTGTAGTGTATAGTATAGTGTGTAGTGTAGTATATTGTGTAGTGTGTAGTGTAGTAGTAGTGTAGTGTGTAGTGTAGTATATTGTGTAGTGTGTAGTGTATAGTGTAGTGTAGTGTGTAGTGTAGTATATTGTGTAGTGTGTTGGCTGGGTCACGTAGCCCGCGTGCCCAGCCCGAGACACGGGCTGGAGAAGAGATGGAGCTGATGAATTAGTGCGTGGGAGAGTGAGTGGCTGGGTGGGTGAGTGGGTGGGTGAGTGGGTGGGTGGGTGAGTGTGTAGGTGAGCGAGTGGGTGGGTGAGTGTGTGGGTGGGTGGGTTTGTGGGGGGGTGAGTGGGTGGGTGAGTGTGCGGGTGAGCGAGTGGGTGGGTGAGTGTGTGGGTGGGTGGGTGGGAGATTGGACGGGTGGGTGGGTGAGCGAGTGGGTGGGTGAGTGTGTGGGTGGGTGGGTGGGAGATTGGACGGGTGGGTGGGTGGGTGAGTGGGTGGGTGGGTGAGTGTGTGGGTGGGTGGGTGGGAGATTGGACGGGTGGGTGGGTGGGTGAGTGGGTGGGTGGGTGAGTGTGTGGGTGGGTGGGTGGGAGAGTGGACGGGTGGGTGGGTGGGTGAGTGGGTGGGTGGGTGAGTGTGTGGGTGGGTGGGTTGGAGAGTGGACGGGTGGGTGGGTGAGCGAGTGGGTGGGTGAGTGTTTGGGTGGGTGGGTGGGAGAGTGGACGGGTGGGTGGTGGGTGAGTGGGTGGGTGAGTGAGTGTGTGGGTGGGTGGGTGGGAGATTGGACGGGTGGGTGGGTAAGTGGGTGGGTGGGTGTGTGGGTTGGTACAGAACCTGCCAACATGATCAACGGCACCCAGGGTCAGATGTGGCCTCGCCGTGACCTTGACCCTGACCTTGTGACCTCTCCCCTCCCCCCTTAGCTCTCCTACTGGGGTACAGAATCTGCCAACATGATCAACGGCACCCAGGGTCAGATGTGGCCTCCGTTTCACGACCCCAAATTGCCCCTCAAGTTCTTCAGCCCAGAGGCATGCAGGTGAGAGAGGGGGTCACGTGCACACCTACACACACACACACACCTACACACACCTACACACACACCTACAAACACACACCTACACACACACCTACACACACACCTACACACACACACACACACCTACACACACCTACACACACACCTACAAACACACACCTACACACACACCTACACACACACCTACACACACACACACACACCTACACACCTACACACACACCTACACACACCTACACAGACCTACACACACCTACAACAACAATAACAACCGCCATTCGCCACTAAGTGGCGGTGACGTCACCACGACGCGTGTGCCAGGCTATGTGCACCCTGAGGCCACGTGAAGTGTCGAACGCCCTCTGGCAGGAGGTCACTGGGCAGACCCAGCAGGTGCCACGGGTCGACTGACTGAGATGACTGGCTGATGCACCACCTGTGCCCCCTACTATGCCAACCTGCTGTGCTTCAGCCACCCGGCGCTCCGCTCGTTGTTGTGAGCGTCGCTCCTCCACCCTCCGTTGTTGTTGGAGGGCGACTGCCTCCAACTGCCCATTAGCATCCTTCACGAGCCTCCTCCACAGAGGCCGATCTTGACACCGCTGGTACCAGTCATTGGCAAGTCCACTCAGCTCCACGTCCTCCTGTACCACATCACTCCATCTCTTCTCTAGCCCATGCCGCGCCCGTTTAGCCCCCTCTATCCGGCCGAACAAAAGCTGTTTCGGCATGCGGTGGCTGGGCATGCGGGCTACATAACCCAGCCAACGCAGCCTTGCCTGCCGGAGGAGCTCACCGATGGGACCTTGCCCAGATATTTCAAGGATTTGTGAGCTCCTCACGCAATCCAGCCTGGTTAAACCCAGGATGGATCGTAGGCAGGCTAGCCTAAATGTTTCTAACCGGCGAAGATGTTCCATTAGTAGAGAAGGGAGGGAATGACCGTGGCCGAGAAGACCTGAAGCTTAGTGCGGAGCGACAGACCAGGTAGCTTCCACACAGCGTTACGCAACCGACGAAAAGATATTGCCGCTCGACTGATTCGGAGTGAGACCTCTGCTGTTAAACTGGAGCCGGTCATAAGCACACTGCCCAGGTATGGGAAACTCTCCACTCTCTCCACAACTGCCCCATCACCGATTGGGAGTTGTGGGGGTGGAGTGTCCGATGGTACAAAATACCCAGGCAGGTGCTTAGTTTTGGTGGGGCTGATGGTAAGGCCCCACCTCTTAGTGGCACGCTCCAGTCTCAGCAGCAGCGCCTCCAACTCCTCCTCTGAGTGAGCAGCTATTACCAAATAATCGGCATACATAACGTGGTTGAGCAATAGGGAGCCATCCCTTGACTGCACCCGGGCATCGATCAGCCTCCCATTGTATCTGTACCAGATGGAAATTCCTCTGGTACATCCATCAAATGCTTCACGGACTACGTGGTCAAAAAATATGTTAAATAATGTGGGAGCCAGAGGACATCCCTGTCGCACCCCAAGGTGTACAGGGAATGGCTCTGACTCCCGGCCACGTAGTTTTACCCGGGCCCGCTCACCATCATGAAGGTCCTTAATGATCGTGAGCAGAGGGTCAGGTACTCCAAAAGCACGAAGAACAACCCAGAGCCCAGGCCTACTGATGGTATCATAGGCCTTGACCAGGTCAATAAAGCAGAGATGTAGGTCTTGTTGGAATTCCCTACACCTCTGCTGTAGCAGACGGACGGAAAATATGGCATCTGTGCAGGACCACCCTTTCCTGAAACCGCATTGGGGCTCCGCAAGCCTCTCCTCAGCGTGCCTGGCGAGGCGATGTTCAATAATCCTTGCCAGGACCTTTCCCGGCACACTGAGGAGTGAGATACCCCTGTAGTTGTTACAGTCTGTGCGGTCCCCCTTCTTAAAGAGGGGGACCACCAGGGCATCCTTCCAATCCTGTGGAACCCGTCCAGTGGTCCAGACTGTTGTTATGATGTCATGTAGGGCAGTCTGTGCACAAACGCCACCCTCCCTCAGCATTTAGCTTGGGAGATCATCTCTGCCCGCTGCCTTTCCTGGTCTCAGACTCCGGATCGCCTTCAATACTTCCTTAACAGATGGCACTTCAGCCAGTCACTCACAGGGGGTGACTTCTTCTTCCAATATTTGAGGCACCGCAGCCTCAGCAGGGTCATCCCCACTTTGTGCCACGATGTTTTCCTGGCTGAGGGATTTTCCCTCCCCCAGGACCTCACAGAAATGCTCAGCAAATCTGCGAACCTGTTCCTGGGGGTCGGAGATTGGATCACCGTTTTTTCCCCTAATGATGGTAATTGGTGTGGCGCTGCAGGTTACTTTTTTGATGGAGTTAAATAGAGATTTGTGATCACGGGCCACTGAGGCAGACTCCATCTCCTCAGCAACCCGCGACCACCACCCATCCTTGCAGCGCCTCACGGCTCTCCGAACCTCCGAGCGAAAGGCTGCGGTAAACCTCCTCATTCTCTGACATGGGATTCTGTAGCCGATGACAGTGGGCCTGTCGCTTTTTCTCAACCATCCTGAACACCTCCTCTGTCAGCCGGGGTCTCTTGGGAGGTCTGGACCGCGTACCCAAAGCAGCCATTGCAGCTGCATGAGCCACAGTCCTAAACCTCGCCCATTCACCCTCGACATCAGGAGGAGTCGGGGACGATGCCAATCCCAGCCGCAAGCGACGATGAAATTCTCGCTTGCAACTTTCATCAGATAACTGAGACCAGGCCACTTTATGTTGGAATGGGGTCCTGGGTGTACACCCACCAACCGGAGTGGAAGAATGGCAAAGGCGCATCTTACAGATGACTAGTCGATGGTCAGAGGGCAGATCAGCTCCACGGTAGGATCCTGGTGTCAAGGACATGGGCTCGCATCCGCTGGTCCGTCACTATGTAGTGTCCAGCAGATGTTCTTGCTTGGACCCGGCATGCATCCATGATGTCGTGTGGATGCGCCGATGTCGGCGGGGGAGAGGGGGGACGATGCCAACCCCGGCCGCAGGCGATGATGAAATTCTCGCTTGCGAAATTCGTCAGCGAGCCGATGAATTTATCGACGTCGGAAAGGGGGTCACCAGCCCCTCGCACCCCTTCCAGAGCCCCCATTTAGCCCCTGTGGTGGTCACAGACGCCCCGAGGGGAATGGCCAATCGGAACTTGGCCCTCGCTCCCCACGGTACTGCCCACCACAGCGTTGTCCATCAGGCACCACGCAACGAGGAGCTAGGGGGTTGTTTTGCCGCCTACACACACACACACACAGAGACAGACAAAGGTGCCCCAGGTAGCCTCTAGCAGGGCTGTAGGGGCAAGTGCTGTGTCAGTAGCAGCACCTACACACACACAGAGACAGACAAAGGTGCCCCAGGTAGCCTCTAGCAGGGCTGTAGGGGCAAGTGCTGTTAGTAGCGAGTAGCAGCACCTACACACAAAGACACAGACAAAGGTCCCCCAGGTAGCCTCTAGTAGGGCTGTAGGGGCAAGTGCTGTGTCAGTAGCAGCACCTACACGCACACGGACAAAGGTCCCCCAGGTAGCCTCTAGCAGGGCTGTAGGGGCAAGTGCTGTGTCAGTAGCGAGTAGCAGCACCTACACACACACAGACAAAGGTACTGTGACTACACAAACACAGGTGCTGGACTACCCCCTCTCTTACCCCCTCTCTACCCTCTCTCTCTACCCCTCTCTCTACCCCTCTCTCTACCCCCTCTCTCTACCCCTCTCTCTCTACCACCTCACTCTCTACCCCCTCTCTCTCTACCCCTCTCTCTACCCCCTCTCCTCTACCCCCTCTCTCTCTACCACCTCTCTCTACCCCCTCTCTCTCTACCCCCCTCTCTACCCCCTCTCTCTCTACCCCCTCTCTCTCTACCCCTCTCTCTCTACCCCCTCTCTCTCTACCCCCTCTCTCTCTACCCCCCTCTCTACTCTCTAACCCCCTCTCATCTCTCTTACCCCCCTCTTCTCTCTCTCTCTACCCCCTCTCTCTCTCTCTCTACCCCCTCTCTCTACCCCCTCTTTCTCTACCCCCTCTCTCTACCCCCTCTCTCTCTCTAACCCCTCTCTCTCTACCCCCTCTCTCTCTACCCCCTCTCTCTCTACCCCCCTCTCTCTCTACCCCCTCTCTCTCTCTACCCCTCTCTCTACCCCCTCTTTTTCTACCCCTCTCTCTCTCTACCCCCTCTCTCTCTACCCCCCTCTCTCTCTACCCCCTCTCTCTCTCTACCCCCCTCTCTACCCCCTCTTTTTCTACCTCTCTCTCTCTCTACCTCTCTCTTTCTCTACCCCCTCTCTCTCTACCCCTCTCTCTCTACCCCTCTCTCTACCCCTCTCTCTACCCCCTCTCTCTCTCTACCCCCTCTCTCTCTACCCCCTCTCTACCCCCCTCTCTACCCCCTCTCCCTCTCTACCCCCTCTCTCTACCCCCTCTCTACCCCCTCTCTACCCCCCCTCTCTACCCCCCTCTCTCTCTACCCCCTCTCTCTACCCCCTCTTTCTCTACCCCCTCTCTCTCTACCCCCTCTCCCTCTCTACCCCCTCTCTCTACCCCCCTCTCTACCCCCTCTCTACCCCCTCTCTACCCCCCTCTCTCTCTACCCCCTCTCTCTCTACCCCCTCTCTCTACCCCCTTTTTCTCTACCCCCTCTCTCTACCCCCCCTCTACCTCTCTCTCTCTCTACCCCCTCTTTCTCTACCCCCTCTCTACCCTCTCTACCCCTCGCTACTCCCTCTCTCTCTCTACCCACCCCCCCCCCCTCTCTCTCTCTACCCCTCTCTACCCTCTCTACCCCTCTCTACCCCCTATCTACCCCCTCTCTACCCCCTCTCTACCCCCTCTCCCTCTCTACCCTCTCTACCCCCTCTCTACCCCCTCTCTACCCTCTCTACCTCCTCTCTACCCCCTCTCTCTCTACCCCTCTCTCTACCCCCTCTCTCTCTCTACCCCTCTCTCTAACCCCCTCTCTACCCCCCTCTCTACCCCCTCTCCCTCTCTACCCCTCTCTCTACCCCCCTCTCTACCCCCTCTCTACCCCCCTCTCTCTACCCCCCTCTCTCTCTACCCCCTCTCTCTACCCCCTCTTTCTCTACCCCCTCTCTCTCTACCCCTCTCCCTCTCTACCCCCTCTCTCTACCCCCCTCTCTACCCCCTCTCTACCCCCCTCTCTACCCCCCTCTCTCTCTACCCCTCTCTCTCTACCCCCTCTCTCTACCCCCTTTTTCTCTACCCCCTCTCTCTCTACCCCCCTCTACCCCCTCTCTCTCTCTACCCCCTCTTTCTCTACCCCCTCTCTACCCTCTCTACCCCCTCGCTACTCCCTCTCTCTCTCTACCCCCCCCCTCTCTCTCTCTACCCCTCTCTACCCCTCTCTACCCCTCTCTACCCCCTATCTACCCCCTTCTACCCCTCTCTACCCCCTCTCCCTCTCTACCCTCTCTACCCCCTCTCTACCCCCTCTCTACCCCTCTCTACCTCCTCTCTACCCCCTCTCTCTCTACCCTCTCTACCCTCTCTCTACCCCTCTCTCTCTACCCCCTCTCTCTCTCTACCCCCCCTCTCTCTCTACCCCCTCTCTCTCTACCCCCTCTCTCTACCCCCTCTCTCTACCCCCCTCTACCCCCCTCTCTCTCTACTCTACCCCCTCTCTACCCCCTCTCTACCCCCTTTCTACCCCCTCTCTACCCCCTCTCTCCCTCTCTACCATCTCTACCCCCTCTCTACCCCCTCTCTACCCCTCTCTACCCCCTCTCTACCCCCTCTCTCTCTACCCCCTCTCTCTCTCTCTACCTAACCCCCCTCTCTCTCTACCCCCTCTCTCTCTACCCCCTCTCTCTACCCCCCTCTCTCTACCCCCTCTCTACCCCCCCTCTCTCTCTACCCCCCTCTCTACCCCCTCTCTACCCCCTCTCTACCCCCTCTCTACCCCCTCTCTACACCCCTCTCCCTCTCTACCCTCTCTACCCCTCTCTACCCCTCTCTCTCTACCCCCTCTCTCTCTACCCCCTCTCTCTCTACCCCCTCTCTCTCTACCCCCCTCTCTCTCTACACCCTCTCTCTCTCTACCCCCCTCTCTCTCTCTACCCCCTCTTTCTCTACCCCCTCTCTCTCTCTCTACCCCCCTCTCTCTCTACCCCCCTCTCTCTCTACCCCCTCTTCTCTACCCTACCCCCTCTCTACCCCCCTCTCTCTCTACCCCCTCTCTCTCTACCCCCTCTCTACCCGCCTCTCTACTCCCCTCCTCTAACCCTTCCTCTACCCCCTCCTACGCCCCTCTCTACCCCCTCTCTCCTACCCCCTCTCTACCCTCTCTACCCCCTCTCTCTCTCTCTACCCCCTCTCTACCCTCTGTAACCCCTCTCTACCCCTCTCTCTCTACCCCCTTCTCTACCCTCTCTAACCCCTCTCTACCTCCTCTCTCTCTACCCCTCTCTACCCCCTCTCTCTCTACCCCCTCTCTCTCTACCCCTCTCTACCCCTCTCTACCCCCTCTCTACCCCCACCCTCTCTCTCTCTCTCTACCCCTCTCTACTACCCCCCCTCTCTCTCTACCCCTTCTCTACCCCCTCTCTACCCCCCTCATCTACCCCCACCCTCTCTCTCTACCCCCTCTCTACCCTCTCTCTACCCCCCCCTCTCTCTCTCCCTACCCCCTCTCTACCCCCTATCTACCCCTTCCTCTCTCCCTCCAGGTCCCTGCAGATGGACCCGGTGCACAGGGGCTGGAGTCTCGGGATCCCGGTGGTCCGCTTCATGGCGCCTGCCTGGCTCTTTGCCAACTCTACTGATCACGTGGGCAACGCCGGATTCTGTCCCTGTGGCCCATCGGGCGTACTCAACGTCAGTCGCTGTAGATACGGTGTGTGTACAAGTGTCTAAGTGTGTGTGTCTAAGTGTCTAAGTGTGTGTCTAAGTGTGTGTCTAAGTGTCTCTGTGTGGGTCTACGTGTGTCTCTGTGTGTCTGTGAGTCTCTGTGTGTCTCTGTGTGTGTCTAAGTGTGTGTCTAAGTGTCTAAGTGTGTGTCTAAGTGTGTGTCTAAGTGTGTGTCTAAGTGTGTGTCTCTGTGTGCGCCTGCCTGGCTCTTTGCCAACTCCACTGATCACGTGGGCAACGCCGGGTTCTGTCCCTGTGGCCCATCGGGCGTACTCAACGTCAGTCGCTGTAGATACGGTGTGTGTCTAACTGTGTGTGTCTAAGTGTGTGTCTAAGTGTCTAAGTGTCTAAGTGTGTGTCTAAGTGTCTAAGTGTGTGTGTCTAAGTGTGAGTCTAAGTGTGTGTCTAAGTGTGTGTCTAAGTGTCTAAGTGTGTGTACAAGTGTTTAAGTGTGAGTCTAAATGTCTAAGTGTGAGTCTAAGTGTGTGTCTAAGTGTCTAAGTGTGTGTCTAAGTGTCTAAGTGTGTGTCTAAGTGTCTAAGTGTGTGTCTAAGTGTGTCTAAGTGTAGCGGGGTTCTGTCCCTGTGGCCCATCGGGCGTACTCAACGTCAGTCGCTGTAGATACGGTGTGTGTACAAGTGTCTAAGTGTGTGTGTCTAAGTGTGTGTCTAACTGTCTAAGTGTGTGTCTTAGTGTCTAAGTGTGTGTACAAGTGTTTAAGTGTGAGTCTAAATGTCTAAGTGTGAGTCTAAGTGTGTGTCTAAGTGTCTAAGTGTGTGTCTAAGTGTCTAAGTGTGTCTAAGTGTAGCGGGGTTCTGTCCCTGTGGCCCATCGGGCGTACTCAACGTCAGTCGCTGTAGATACGGTGTGTGTCTAACTGTGTGTGTCTAAGTGTCTAAGTGTCTAAGTGTGTGTGTACAAGTGTCTAAGTGTGTGTCTAAGTGTCTAAGTGTGTGTCTAAGTGTGTGTCTAAGTGTGTGTCTAAGTGTCTAAGTGTGTGTCTCTGTGTGTGTCTCTGTGTGTGTCTAAGTGTGTGTACAAGTGTCTAAGTGTCTAAGTGTGTGTCTAAGTGTGTGTCTAAGTGTGTGTCTCTGTGTGTGTCTAAGTGTGTGTCTAAGTGTCTAAGTGTGTGTCTAAGTGTGTGTCTAAGTGTGTGTCTAAGTGTGTGTCTCTGTGTGTGTCTAAGTGTGTGTACAAGTGTCTAAGTGTGTGTCTAAGTGTGTGTGTACAAGTGTCTAAGTGTGTGTCTAAGTGTGTGTGTCTAACTGTCTAAGTGTGTGTCTAAGTGTGTGTCTAAGTGTGTGTCTAAGTGTGTGTCTCTGTGTGTGTCTAAGTGTGTGTACAAGTGTCTAAGTGTGTGTCTAAGTGTGTGTGTACAAGTGTCTAAGTGTGTGTCTAATTGTGTGTGTGTCTAACTGTCTAAGTATGTGTCTAAGTGTGTGTCTAAGTGTGTGTCTAAGTGTGTGTCTAAGTGTCTAAGTGTGTGTCTAACTGTGTGTGTCTAAGTGTCTAAGTGTCTAAGTGTGTGTGTACAAGTGTCTAAGTGTGTGTCTAAGTGTCTAAGTGTGTGTCTAAGTGTGTGTCTAAGTGTGTGTCTAAGTGTCTAAGTGTGTGTCTCTGTGTGTGTCTCTGTGTGTGTCTAAGTGTGTGTACAAGTGTCTAAGTGTCTAAATGTGTGTCTAAGTGTGTGTCTAAGTGTGTGTCTCTGTGTGTGTCTAAGTGTGTGTCTAAGTGTCTAAGTGTGTGTCTAAGTGTGTGTCTAAGTGTGTGTCTAAGTGTGTGTCTCTGTGTGTGTCTAAGTGTGTGTACAAGTGTCTAAGTGTGTGTCTAAGTGTGTGTGTACAAGTGTCTAAGTGTGTGTCTAAGTGTGTGTGTCTAACTGTCTAAGTGTGTGTCTAAGTGTGTGTCTAAGTGTGTGTCTAAGTGTGTGTCTAAGTGTCTAAGTGTGTGTCTAACTGTGTGTGTCTAAGTGTCTAAGTGTCTAAGTGTGTGTGTACAAGTGTCTAAGTGTGTGTCTAAGTGTCTAAGTGTGTGTCTAAGTGTGTGTCTAAGTGTCTAAGTGTGTGTCTCTGTGTGTGTCTCTGTGTGTGTCTAAGTGTGTGTACAAGTGTCTAAGTGTCTAAGTGTGTGTCTAAGTGTGTGTCTAAGTGTGTGTCTCTGTGTGTGTCTAAGTGTGTGTCTAAGTGTCTAAGTGTGTGTCTAAGTGTGTGTCTAAGTGTGTGTCTCTGTGTGTGTCTAAGTGTGTGTACAAGTGTCTAAGTGTGTGTCTAAGTGTGTGTGTACAAGTGTCTAAGTGTGTGTCTAAGTGTGTGTGTCTAACTGTCTAAGTGTGTGTCTAAGTGTGTGTCTAAGTGTGTGTCTAAGTGTCTAAGTGTGTGTCTAAGTGTGTGTCTAAGTGTCTAAGTGTGTGTCTAAGTGTGTGTCTAAGTGTCTCTGTGTGTGTCTTAGTGTCTAAGTGTGTGTCTCTGTGTGTGTCTAACTGTGTGTGTCTAAGTGTCTAAGTGTGTGTGTCTAAGTGTGTGTCTAAGTGTCTAAAGTGTGTGTCTAAGTGTGTGTCTAAGTGTGTGTCTAAGTGTCTAAGTGTGTGTCTAAGTGTGTGTCTAAGTGTCTAAGTGTGTGTCTAAGTGTGTGTCTAAGTGTCTCTGTGTGTGTCTTAGTGTCTAAGTGTGTGTCTAACTGTGTGTGTCTAAGTGTCTAAGTGTGTGTCTAAGTGTGTGTGTACAAGTGTCTAAGTGTCTAAGTGTGTGTCTAAGTGTGTGTCTAACTGTCTAAGTGTGTGTCTAAGTGTGTGTGTACAAGTGTCTAAGTGTGTGTCTAAGTGTGTGTGTACAAGTGTCTAAGTGTGTGTCTAAGTGTGTGTGTGTCTAACTGTCTAAGTGTGTGTCTAAGTGTGTGTCTAAGTGTGTGTCTAAGTGTGTGTCTAAGTGTCTAAGTGTGTGTCTAAGTGTGTGTCTAAGTGTCTAAGTGTGTGTCTAAGTATGTGTCTAAGTGTCTCTGTGTGTGTCTTAGTGTCTAAGTGTGTGTCTCTGTGTGTGTCTAACTGTGTGTGTCTAAGTGTCTAAGTGTGTGTGTCTAAGTGTGTGTCTAAGTGTCTAAAGTGTGTGTCTAAGTGTGTGTCTAAGTGTGTGTCTAAGTGTCTAAGTGTGTGTCTAAGTGTGTGTCTAAGTGTCTAAGTGTGTGTCTAAGTGTGTGTGTCTAAGTGTCTCTGTGTGTGTCTTAGTGTCTAAGTGTGTGTCTAACTGTGTGTGTCTAAGTGTCTAAGTGTGTGTCTAAGTGTGTGTGTACAAGTGTCTAAGTGTCTAAGTGTGTGTCTAAGTGTGTGTCTAACTGTCTAAGTGTATGTCTAAGTGTGTGTGTACAAGTGTCTAAGTGTGTGTCTAAGTGTGTGTGTACAAGTGTCTAAGTGTGTGTCTAAGTGTGTGTGTCTAACTGTCTAAGTGTGTGTCTAAGTGTGTGTCTAAGTGTGTGTCTAAGTGTGTGTCTAAGTGTCTAAGTGTGTGTCTAAGTGTGTGTCTAAGTGTCTAAGTGTGTGTCTAAGTGTGTGTCTAAGTGTCTCTGTGTGTGTCTTAGTGTCTAAGTGTGTGTCTCTGTGTGTGTCTAACTGTGTGTGTCTAAGTGTCTAAGTGTGTGTGTCTAAGTGTGTGTCTAAGTGTCTAAAGTGTGTGTCTAAGTGTGTGTCTAAGTGTGTGTCTAAGTGTCTAAGTGTGTGTCTAAGTGTGTGTCTAAGTGTCTAAGTGTGTGTCTAAGTGTGTGTCTAAGTGTCTCTGTGTGTGTCTTAGTGTCTAAGTGTGTGTCTAACTGTGTGTGTCTAAGTGTCTAAGTGTGTGTCTAAGTGTGTGTGTACAAGTGTCTAAGTGTCTAAGTGTGTGTCTAAGTGTGTGTCTAACTGTCTAAGTGTGTGTCTAAGTGTGTGTGTACAAGTGTCTAAGTGTGTGTCTAAGTGTGTGTGTACAAGTGTCTAAGTGTGTGTCTAAGTGTGTGTGTCTAACTGTCTAAGTGTGTGTCTAAGTGTGTGTCTAAGTGTGTGTCTAAGTGTGTGTCTAAGTGTCTAAGTGTGTGTCTAAGTGTGTGTCTAAGTGTCTAAGTGTGTGTCTAAGTGTGTGTCTAAGTGTCTCTGTGTGTGTCTTAGTGTCTAAGTGTGTGTCTGTGTGTGTGTCTAACTGTGTGTGTCTAAGTGTCTAAGTGTGTGTGTCTAAGTGTGTGTCTAAGTGTCTAAAGTGTGTGTCTAAGTGTGTGTCTAAGTGTGTGTCTAAGTGTCTAAGTGTGTGTCTAAGTGTGTGTCTAAGTGTCTAAGTGTGTGTCTAAGTGTGTGTCTAAGTGTCTCTGTGTGTGTCTTAGTGTCTAAGTGTGTGTCTAACTGTGTGTGTCTAAGTGTCTAAGTGTGTGTCTAAGTGTGTGTGTACAAGTGTCTAAGTGTCTAAGTGTGTGTCTAAGTGTGTGTCTAACTGTCTAAGTGTATGTCTAAGTGTGTGTGTACAAGTGTCTAAGTGTGTGTCTAAGTGTGTGTGTACAAGTGTCTAAGTGTGTGTCTAAGTGTGTGTGTCTAACTGTCTAAGTGTGTGTCTAAGTGTGTGTGTCTAAGTGTGTGTCTAAGTGTCTAAGTGTGTGTCTAAGTGTGTGTCTAAGTGTCTAAGTGTGTGTCTAAGTGTGTGTCTAAGTGTCTCTGTGTGTGTCTTAGTGTCTTAGTGTGTGTCTCTGTGTGTGTCTAACTGTGTGTGTCTAAGTGTCTAAGTGTGTGTGTCTAAGTGTGTGTCTAAGTGTCTAAAGTGTGTGTCTAAGTGTGTGTCTAAGTGTGTGTCTAAGTGTCTAAGTGTGTGTCTAAGTGTGTGTCTAAGTGTGTGTCTAAGTGTGTGTCTAAGTGTGTGTCTAAGTGTCTCTGTGTGTGTCTTAGTGTCTAAGTGTGTGTCTCTGTGTGTGTCTACCTGTGTGTGTCTAAGTGTCTAAGTGTGTGTGTCTAAGTGTGTGTCTAAGTGTCTAAGTGTGTGTCTAAGTGTGTGTCTAAGTGTGTGTCTAAGTGTCTAAGTGTGTGTCTAAGTGTGTGTCTAAGTGTCTAAGTGTGTGTCTAAGTGTGTGTCTAAGTGTCTCTGTGTGTGTCTTAGTGTCTAAGTGTGTGTCTCTGTGTGTGTCTAACTGTGTGTGTCTAAGTGTCTAAGTGTGTGTCTAAGTGTGTGTCTAAGTGTCTAAGTGTGTGTCTAAGTGTGTGTCTAAGTGTCTCTGTGTGTGTCTTAGTGTCTAAGTGTGTGTCTCTGTGTGTGTCTAACTGTGTGTGTCTAAGTGTCTAAGTGTGTGTGTCTAAGTGTGTGTCTAAATGTGTGTCTAAGTGTGTGTCTAAGTGTCTAAGTGTGTGTCTAAGTGTCTAAGTGTGTGTACAAGTGTGTGTGTCTAAGTGTGTGTGTCTAAGTGTCTAAGTGTGTGTACAAGTGTGTGTGTCTAAGTGTGTGTGTACAAGTGTCTAAGTGTGTGTCTAAGTGTGTGTACAAGTGTCTAAGTGTCTAAGTGTGTGTCTAAGTGTCTAAGTGTGTGTCTAAGTGTGTGTCTAAGTGTCTAAGTGTCTAAGTGTGTGTACAAGTGTCTAAGTGTCTAAGTGTCTAAGTGTGTGTACAAGTGTCTAAGTGTGTGTCTAACTGTGTGTGTCTAAGTGTCTAAGTGTGTGTCTAAGTGTGTGTCTAAGTGTGTGTGTCTAAGTATGTGTGTCTAAGTGTGTGTACAAGTGTCTAAGTGTCTAAGTGTCTAAGTGTGTGTACAAGTGTCTAAGTGTCTAAGTGTCTAAGTGTGTGTACAAGTGTCTAAGTGTGTGTCTAACTGTGTGTGTCTAAGTGTCTAATTGTGTGTCTAAGTGTGTGTCTAAGTGTGTGTCTAAGTGTGTGTCTAAGTGTGTGTACAAGTGTCTAAGTGTGTGTCTTAGTGTCTAAGTGTGTGTCTAAGTGTCTAAGTGTGTGTGTCTAAGTGTGTCTAAGTGTAGCGGGGTTCTGTCCCTGTGGGCCATCGGGGGTACTCAACGTCAGTCGCTGTAGATACGGTGTGTGTACAAGTGTCTAAGTGTGTGTGTCTAAGTGTGTGTCTAACTGTCTAAGTGTGTGTCTTAGTGTCTAAGTGTGTGTCTAATTGTGTGTGTCTAAGTGCCTAAGTGTGTGTCTAAGTGTGTGTATAAGTGTGTGTCTAAGTGTGTGTGTGTGTCTAAGTGTGTGTCTAAGTGTGTGTCTAAGTGTGTGTCTAAGTGTGTGGCTAAGTGTGTGTCTAAGTGTGTGTCTAAGTGTGTGTCTAAGTGTCTAAGTGTGTGTCTAAGTGTCTAAGTGTGTGTCTAAGTGTGTGTCTAAGTGTGTGTTTAAGTGTGTGTCTAAGTGTGTGTCTAAGTGTCTAAGTGTCTAAGTGTGTGTCTAAGTGTCTAAGTGTGTGTCTAAGTGTGTGTCTAAGTGTGTGTCTAAGTGTCTAAGTGTCTAAGTGTGTGTCTCTGTGTGTGTCTCTGTGTGTGTCTAAGTGTGTGTCTAAGTGTCTAAGTGTCTAAGTGTGTGTCTAAGTGTCTCTGTGTGGGTCTAAGTGTGTGTACAAGTGTCTAAGTGTGTGTCTAAATGTCTAAGTGTGTGTCTCTGTGTGTGTCTAAGTGTGTGTCTAAGTGTCTAATTGTGTGTCTAAGTGTGTGTCTAAGTGTCTAAGTGTCTAAGTGTGTCTCTAAGTGTCTACGTGTGTGTCTAAGTGTGTGTCTAAGTGTGTGTCTAAGTGTGTGTCTAAGTGTCTCTGTGTGGGTCTAAGTGTGTGTCTAAGTGTGTGTCTAAGTGTCTAAGTGTCTAAGTGTGTGTCTAAGTGTGTGTGTCTAAGTGTGTGTCTAAGTGTGTGTCTAAGTGTGTGTCTAAGTGTGTGTCTAAGTGTCTAAGTGTCTAAGTGTGTGTCTAAGTGTCTAAGTGTGTGTCTAAGTGTGTGTCTAAGTGTGTGTGTCTAAGTGTGTGTCTAAGTGTGTGTCTAAGTGTGTGTCTAAGTGTCTAAGTGTCTAAGTGTGTGTCTAAGTGTGTGTCTAAGTGTGTGTCTAAGTGTGTAAGTGTGTGTCTAAGTGTGTGTCTAAGTGTGTGTCTAAGTGTCTAAGTGTGTGTCTAAGTGTGTGTCTAAGTGTATAAGTGTGTGTCTAAGTGTCTAAGTGTCTAAGTGTGTGTCTAAGTGTGTGTCTAAGTGTGTGTCTAAGTGTCTAAGTGTGTGTCTAAGTGTGTGTCTAAGTGTGTGTCTAAGTGTCTAAGTGTGTGTCTAAGTGTCTAAGTGTGTGTCTAAGTGTGTGTCTAAGTGTGTCTAACTGTGTGTCTAAGTGTCTACAAGTGTCTAAGTTTGTGTCTAAGTGTGTGTCTAAGTGTCTAAGTGTGTGTCTAAGTGTGTGTCTAAGTGTCTCTGTGTGGGTCTAAGTGTGTCTCTGTGTGTCTGTGAGTCTCTGTGTGTCTCTGTGTGTCTCTGTGTGTGTCTAAGTGTGTGTCTAAGTGTCTAAGTGTCTCTGTGTGTGTCTCTGTGTGTCTAAGTGTATCTCTGTGTGTCTCTGTGTGTCTCTGTGTGTGTCTAAGTGTGTGTCTAAGTGTCTAAGTGTCTCTGTGTGTGTCTCTGTGTGTCTAAGTGTCTCTCTGTGAGGTCTCTGTGTGTCTCTGTGTGTGTCTCTGTGTGTGTCTCTGTGTGTGTCTCTGTGTGTGTCTCTGTGTGTGTCTAAGTGTCTAAATGTAGCGGGGTTCTGTCCCTGTGGGCCTTCGGGGGTACTCAACGTCAGTCGCTGTAGATACGGTGTGTGTACAAGTGTCTAAGTGTCTAAGTGTGTGTCTAAGTGTGTGTCTAAGTGTGTGTCTAAGTGTCTCTGTGTGGGTCTACGTGTGTCTATGTGTGTCTGTGAGTCTCTGTGTGTCTCTGTGTGGGTTTAAGTGTGTGTCTAAGTGTCTAAGTGTGTGTCTAAGTGTCTAAGTGTGTGTCTAATTGTGTGTCTAAGTGTCTAAGTGTGTGTCTAAGTGTGTGTCTAAGTGTGTGTCTAAGTGTTTGTCTAAGTGTCTAAGTGTGTGTCTAAGTGTCTAAGTGTGTGTCTAAGTGTGTGTCTAAGTGTGTGTCTAAGTGTCTCTGTGTGTCTAAGTGTCTCTGTGTGAGTCTAAGTGTGTCTAAGTGTGTCTCTGTGTGTCTCTGTGTGTCTAAGTGTCTCTGTGTGAGTCTAAGTGTGTCTAAGTGTGTCTCTGTGTGTCTAAGTGTGTCTAAGTGTGTCTCTGTGTGTGTCTAAGTGTGTCTAAGTGTGTGTCTGTGTGTATCTGTGTGTGTCTAAGTGTGTCTCTGTGTGTGTCTCTATGTGTCTATGTGTGTCTAAGTGTGTCTCTATATGTGTCTCACTGTCTCTGTGTGTGTCTCTCTGTGTGTCTCTGTGTGTGTCCCTGTGTGTCTGTGTGTCTCTGTGTGTGTCTCTGTGTGTCTCTCTGCGTGTGTGTCTGTGTGTCTAAGTGTGTCTCTATGTGCCTCTGTGTCTAAGTGTGTCTCTCTGTGTCTCTCTCCCTGTATCTGTCTCACTCTCTCTGTCTCTCTGTCTGTCTCCCTGTCTCTCTCCCTGTCTCTCTGTCTCTCTGTCTCTCTCCCTGTCTCTCTTTCTCTCTGTCTCTCTCTGTCTCTCTCTCTGTCTCTCTCCCTGTCTCTCTCACTCTCTGTCTCTCTGTCCCTCTCCCTGTCTCTCTCTCTGTCTCTCTGTCTCTCTGTCTCTCTCCCTGTCTCTCTTTCTCTCTGTCTCTCTCACTCTCTGTCTCTCTGTCTCTCTCCCTGTCTCTCTCTCTGTCTCTCTCTGTCTCCCTGTCTGTCACTCTGTCTCTCTGTCTCTCTGTCTCTCTCACTCTCTCTCTGTCTCCCTGTCTGTCTCCCTGTCTGTCTCCCTCTCTGTCTCTCTCTCTCTGTCTCCCTGTCTGTCTCCCTGTCTGTCTCTCTCTGTCTCTCTCCCTGTCTCTCTCCCTGTCTCTCTCCCTGTCTCTCTGTCTCTCTCCCTGTCTGTCTCTCCGTCTCTCTGTCTCTCTCACTCTCTCTGTCTCTCTTTGTCTCTCTGTCTCTCTCCCTGTCTCACTCCCTCTGTCTCCATGTCTATCTCCCTGTCTCTTTCTCTGTCTCTCTCTTTCTCTCTGTCTCTCTGTCTCCCTGTCTCTCTCACTCTCTCTCTGTCTCCCTGTCTCTCTCTGTCTCTCTCCCTGTCTCCCTGTCTGTCTCTCTGTCTCCCTGTCTCTCTGTCTCCCTGTCTCTCTGTCTCTCTCACTCTCTCTCTCTCCCTGTCTGTCTCTCTGTCTCCCTGTCTCTCTCTTTCTCCCTGTCTCTCTGTCTCTCTGTCTCTCTCCCTGTCTCTCTCTCCCTGTCTCACTCTCTCTGTCTCCCTGTCTCTTTGTCTCTCTGTCTCCCTGTCTCTCTCACTCTCTCTCCCTGTCTCCCTGTCTCTCTCTGTCTCTCTCTGTCTCTTTCTCCCTGTCTCTCTGTCTCCCTGTCTCTCTCCCTGTCTCTCTCCCTGTCTGTCTCTCTCTCTCCCTGTCTCTCTCCCTCTCTGTCTCCCCGTCTCTCTGTCTCTCTCTCTCTCTCTCTGTCTCCCTGTCTCTCTCCCTGTCTCTCTCCCTGTCTTTCTCTCACTCTCCCTGTCTCTCTCCCTCTCTGTCTCCCCGTCTCTCTGTCTCTCTCTCTGTCTCCCTGTCTCTCTCCCTGTCTCTCTCCCTGTCTGTCTCTCTCTCTCTCCCTGTCTCTCTCCCTCTCTGTCTCCCCGTCTCTCTGTCTCTCTCTCTGTCTCCCTGTCTCTCTCCCTGTCTCTCTCCCTGTCTGTCTCTCTCTCTCCCTGTCTCTCTCCCTCTCTGTCTCCCCGTCTCTCTGTCTCTCTCTCCCTGTCTGTCTCTCTGTCTCCCTGTCTCTCTCACTCTCTCTCTCTGTCTGTCTCTCTCTGTCTCCCTGTCTCTCTCTCTGTCTCCACGTCTCCCACAGACTCGTCAGCCTTCATTTCCCATCCCCACTTCTACAACGGAGACGCGAGTCTCAGAGACGCTGTGACGGGGTTGGAACCCCGCGCTGACCTGCACGAAATGTTTATTGACCTTCACCCGGTATGACCTCCCCCCACGCACACAAAGACACAGACAAAGGTGGCCCCAGGTAGCCTCTAGCAGGGCTGTGGGGGCAGGCTCGGAACGTAGCGATAACCACTACACCACCGTTCCCCACACATACAGGCGCTCACTCACTCACTCAGCCACTCACTCACTCAGCAACACAGCCACTCACTCACTCAGCCACTCACTCAGCCACTCACTCAGCAACACACTCACTCAGCAACACAGTCACTCACTCATCCACTCACTCACTCAGCCACTCACTCACTCAGCAACACACTCACTCACTCAGCCACTCACTCACTCAGCCACTCACTCACTCAGCCACTCACTCAGCCACTCACTCACTCAGTCACTCACTCACTCAGCCACTCACTCACTCAGCCACTCACTCAGCCACTCACTCACTCAGTCACTCACTCACTCAGCCACTCACTCACTCAGCCACTCACTCACTCACTCAGCCACTCACTCACTCAGCCACTCACTCACTCACTCAGCCACTCATTCACTCACTCAGCCACTCACTCACTCAGCCACTCACTCACTCAGCCACTCACTCAGCCACTCACTCACTCAGTCACTCACTCACTCAGCCACTCACTCACTCAGCCACTCACTCACTCACTCAGCCACTCACTCACTCACTCAGCCACTCACTCACTCACTCAGCCACTCACTCACTCGCTCAACCACTCATTCACTCAGCCACTCACTCATTCAGCCACTCACTCAACTACTCAGCAACTCACTCACTCAGCCACTTATTCACTCAGCCACTCACTCACCCACTCACTCAACCACTCACTCACTCAGCCACTCATTCACTCACTCAGCCACTCACTCAGCCACTCACTCACTCAGCAACACACTCACTCAGCCACTCACTCACTCAGCCACTCACTCACTCACTCAGCCACTCACTCACTCACTCAGCCACTCACTCACTCGCTCAACCACTCATTCACTCAGCCACTCACTCATTCAGCCACTCACTCAACTACTCAGCCACTCACTCACTCAGCCACTCACTCACCCACTCACTCAACCACTCACTCACTCAGCCACTCATTCACTCACTCACTCAGCCACTCACTCAGCCACTCACTCAGCCACTCACTCACTCAGCCACTCACTCAACTACTCAGCCACTCACTCACTCAGCCACTCATTCACTCAGCCACTCATTCACTCAGCCACTCACTCACCCACTCACTCAACCACTCACTCACTCACTCAGCCACTCATTCACTCAGCCACTCACTCACCCACTCACTCAACCACTCACTCACTCACTCAACCACTCACTCACTCAGCCACTCACTCACTCACTCAGCCACTCACTCACTCAGCCACTCACTCACTCAGCCACTCACTCACCCACCCACTCACCCTCCCACCCACATGCGCACGCATTAGCGGGCGGTCACCAATCATAAACTCATTAGCGGCTTTGTGGTGTGTGTGGTGTGTGTGTGGTGTGTGTGTGGTGTGTGTGGTGTGTGGTGTATGTGTGGTGTGTGTGTGTGTGGTGTGTGTGGTGTGTGTGTGTGTGGTGTGTGTGTAGTGTGTGGTGTGTGTGGTGTGTGTGTGTGGTGTGTGTGTGGTGTGTGTGTGTGATGTGTGTGTGTGGTGTGTGTGTGGTGTGTGTGGTGTGTGTGTGGTGTGTGTGTTGTGTGGTGTGTGTGATGTGTGGTGTGTGATGTGTGTGTGTGGTGTGTGTGGTGTGTGTGTGGTGTGGTGTGTGTGGTGTGTGTGATGTGTGTGTGTGTGGTGTGTGTGGTGTGTGTGATGTGTGTGTGGTGTGTGTGGTGTGTGTGTGTGTGGTGTGTGTGTGGTGTGTGGTGTGTGTGTGTGGTTTGTGTGGTGTGTGTGGTGTGTGTGGTGTGTGTGGTGTGTAGTGTGGTGTGTGGTGGTGTGTAGTGTGGTGGTGTGTGTGGTGTGTGTGTGTGGTGTGTGTGGTGTGTGTGGTGTGTGTGGTGTGTGTGGTGTGTGTGTGTGGTGTGTGTGGTGTGTGTGGTGTGTGTGGTGTGTGTGTGGTGTGTGTGGTGTGTGTGTGTGGTGTGTGTGGTGTGTGTGGTGTGTGTGTGGTGTGTGTGTGGTGTGTGTGTGTGGTGTGTGGTGTGTGTGTGTGGTTTGTGTGTGTGTGGTGTGTGTGGTGTGTGTGTGGTGTGTGTGTGGTGTGTGTGTGGTGTGTGTGGTGTGTGTGGTGTGTGGTGTGTGTGTGTGGTGTGTGTGGTGTGTGGGTGGTGTGTGTGGTGTGTGTGGTGTGTGTGTGTGTGGTGTGTGTGGTGTGTGTGGTGTGTGGTGTGTGTGTGTGGTGTGTGTGTGTGGTGTGTGTGTGGTGTGTGTGTGGTGTGTGTGTGGTGTGTGTGTGGTGTGTGTGTGTGTGGTGTGTGTGGTGTGTGTGGTGTGTGTGGTGTGTGGTGTGTGTGTGGTGTGTGTGTGGTGTGTGTGTGGTGTGTGTGTGGTGTGTGTGTGGTGTGTGTGGTGTGTGTTGTGTGTGGTGTGTGTGTGGTGTGTGTGTGGTGTGTGTGTGGTGTGTGTGGTGTGTGTGTGTGGTGTGTGTGGTGTGTGTGGTGTGTGTGGTGTGTGTGTGTGTGGTGTGTGTGGTGTGTGTGGTGTGTGGTGTGTGTGTGGTGTGTGTGGTGTGTGTGGTGTGTGTGTGTGGTGTGTGTGTGGTGTGTATGGTGTGTGTGGTGTGTGTGTGTGGTGTGTGTGGTGTGTGTGGTGTGTGTGGTGTGTGTGTGTGGTGTGTGTGTGGTGTGTGTGGTGTGTGTGTGTGGTGTGTGTGGTGTGTGTGTGGTGTGTGTGGTGTGTATGGTGTGTGTGGTGTGTGTGTGGTGTGTGTGGTGTGTGTGTGGTGTGTGGTGTGTGTGGTGTGTGGTGTGTGTGTGTGGTGTGTGTGGTGTGTGTGTGTGGTGTGTGTGGTGTGTGTGGTGTGTATGTGGTGTGTGTGTGGTGTGTGTGTGTGTGGTGTGTATGTGGTGTGTGTGTGTGGTGTGTGTGGTGTGTGTGGTGTGTGTGTGGTGTGTGGTGTGTGTGTGTGGTGTGTGTGTGGTGTGTATAGTGTGTGTGTGTGGTGTGTGTGTGGTGTGTGTGTGGTGTGTCCCCGCGTTTTTGTTGAGTTCAAAGCCTTCTCCGCTGTTGTCTAACAAGAAGGGAGTGGGGATGGCCAGAGAGAGAGAGATAACACTTCTATTGATTGTAACGGCTTGCACAACTTGTCTGTGAGCGTGTGTGTGTCTGTGCATCTATACATTTTGCACCGAGTTAAAATTGGCCAACGATTGCCTGACATTGCATTTCCCATTGATCTGCACGCGCGCCGATGCCAAAAAGTGGGTTAAATAATGAGTAAAACCACGCACACACACACACAGAAACAGACTTTTGACTCTGAACGCTGATGTCCCTCGAGGGAGGCGGAACGTCGTGATTAACACTGAGCCCTGTGGGAGCCTTAGTCTGGCTCTGTGAGTCTCAGTGATTAACACTGAACCCAGTGGGAGCCTTAGTCTGGCTCTGTGAGCCTCAGTGATTAACACTGAACCCTGTGGGAGCCTTAGTCTGGCTCTGTGAGTCTCAGTGATTAACACTGAACCCTGTGGGAGCCTTAGTCTGGCTCTGTGAGCCTCAGTGATTAACACTGAACCCTACGTGAGGGAGCCTTAGTGTGGCTCTGTGAGCCTTAGTGATTAACACTGAACCCTGTGGGAGTCTCAGTGATTAACACTGAACCCTGTGGGAGTCTCAGGGATTAACACTGAACCCTGTGGGAGCCTCAGTGATTAACACTGAACCCTATGGGAGTCTCAGTGATTAACACTGAACCCTGTGGGAGTCTCAGTGATTAACACTGAACCCTGTGGGAGTCTCAGTGATTAACACTGAACGCTGTGGGAGTCTCAGTGATTAACACTGAACCCTGTGGGAGTCTCAGTGATTAACACTGAACCCTGTGGGAGTCTCAGTGATTAACACTGAACCCTGTGGGAGTCTCAGTGGCTAACACTGAACCCTGTGGGAGTCTCAGTGATTAACACTGAACGCTGTGGGAGCCTCAGTGATTAACACTGAACCCTATGGGAGTCTCAGTGATTAACACTGAACCCTGTGGGAGTCTCAGTGATTAACACTGAACCCTGTGGGAGTCTCAGAGATTAACACTGAACCCTGTGGGAGTCTCAGAGATTAACACTTAACCCTGTGGAAGTCTCAGTGATTAACACTGAACCCTGTGGGAGTCTCAGTGATTAACACTGAACCCTGTGGGAGTCTCAGTGATTAACAATGAACCCTGTGGGAGTCTCAGTGATTAACACTGAACCCTGTGGGAGTCTCAGTGATTAACACTGAACCCTGTGGGAGCCTCAGTGATTAACACTGAACCCTGTGGGAGCCTCAGTGATTAACACTGAACCCTGTGGGAGCCTCAGTGATTAACACTGAGCCATGTGGGAGTCTCAGTGATTAACACTGAACCCTGTGGGAGCCTCAGTGATTAACACTAAGCCCTGTGGGAGCCTCAGTCTGGCTCTGTGAGCCTCAGTGATTAACACTGAACCCTAAGTGAGAGAGCCTTAGTCTGGCTCTGTGAGTTTCAGTGATTAACACTGAACCCTGTGGGAGCCTTAGTCTGGCTCTGTGAGTCTCAGTGATTAACACTGAACCCTATGGGAGCCTTAGTCTGGCTCTGTGAGTCTCAGTGATTAACACTGAACCCTATGGGAGCCTTAGTCTGGCTCTGTGAGCCTCAGTGATTAACACTGAACCCTGTGGTAGCCTCAGTCTGGCTCTGTGAGCCTCAGTGATTAACACTGAACCCTGTGGGAGCCTTAGTCTGGCTCTGTGAGCCTCAGTGATTGACACTGAACCCTGTGGGAGCCTTAGTCTGGCTCTGTGAGCCTCAGCGATTAACACTGAACCCTGTGGGAGCCTTAGTCTGGCTCTGTGAGCCTCAGTGATTAACACTGAGCCCTGTGGGAGGCTTA